CTCCACGACAGCTTCACCTGCACCTGGAGTTACAGTCGGTCTGACAACCAGATTCGATGCCGTATACACCTGCTGACCATCAATTGCTTCCAGGAATAGATGCTGCAACTCTGGTCTAAAACATATATGCTACAGGGAAAACGGGATGTTTCACTGTCCCGTATGTAAGGATAACCATGGTGTCATTCTCGTAACCTAAACACGGATTTTGCATGAGTAAATCCGACACAAAACCTTTTCAGATAGTTAACGGCGGTGTCACTTCAGTTGTTGGTAGTTTGTGTGTGGAAGAGGGGAATAAGGTCAAGGCAAATGCAGACGTGAGTCGAAATCCTTTCGTTGTGAAGGTTGGCTAAAGCACAGTTCACAGTGTCATTTCATAAAATGCGTTCAAAGTTATAAAAAGTCAGCAAGAAATTGCAATTATTCATTTATTTTCTGGTTACTATTTCATCGGAGTTTTGTAAAGACCTATTCCTCTAAATAAGTCCCCTTTTGAATGTATTTTGTAAAAAAGTAAGCCTTTTAAATAAAGCTTATGCATTCAAGGGATAAAGAGAACGTTTACTGGAATATTCCCGATATCCACTTGGTTAAATGTGTTACAAGGTAAGCAAATGATTTGAAATTCCGAAAATCGGAGTGAGATGAGTGGGATCTACGTTCCTGTTCCTTTGGAGCCTCAGCCTGAAGTGTCTTCTCTTTCAGATACTGTTGAGGGTTCCTCCCAGGTATTTTATTGTAAATAGTAGGTTCTATTTTTCGAGAAGAACACATCCGGGTATTCCTTCTTGTTTTCGCTCGATTACTACAGATCCTTCTTTGATGTGGATACGCATCAGGTATTTAAATGTCCTGCTCAATTACTGGGTTCACTGTGACCACTAACAAGCGCACTTTGGGTGCATTCCAGGTTGTTCAGCGTATGTTTGGGGGACTTATTCCCTTCTCGAAGAGATTCTCCCTCTCCGTCTCCCTGCGACCCGCACCAGATCTATATGGCCCGTTCTGGATTATAGTGACCTTAGTTTTTTCAATTGCCTTTTCTGGAAGCATCTATGAGTATATGATATCGAAAAACGCGTCCGCGCTCTCAACGTTCAATTTCGGTCGGGGTGAGTAATTCTACTGGACACGAGTTGTATTTAATTATCTTTAAGTGCTGTTGCTTAAATCTATTGTCCTACATTTTGAACTGTTTTTACCTAAGTTTTGTGACCTCTGTGATCTTTAACGATTAATCACCTCCTTGGTTGTCATTGTGCCTTACATTTCAGCTACCATATCGGCCGCTATCCTCTTTGTATATTGGTGTCTCGTCCCGATCATTTTAACATCTTTAACATGGTTTAGAGGACGGAATGCTTATTCTGATGCACAAGGCACTGGCAAGGTGCCAGAATTCAGTTTTGGTTCGCTGTTCAGTGTCTTGCTTGCGATCTATGGCTACTCAATGGTTTCTTTCATTCCTGTCGCTGTAAGCAGTCCCGTACCAGATTTTCTTCTCAAATCCTGCCATATATTGTCGCTTTTAGTGTTCTTCTTATCATTACCACTACTTTTACGTTGGCCCTTATCCCATCACCATCCTATGACAGTTCAGCCGAGTGGTCCTGAGCTGCCTAAATGTCCTAAGATATCGAACCGACATTAGCGATTATAAACCTCTTTCAGATGCTTCTGTGTATCCCCGTTTCATTTGTGCAGTGGATCTTGATTGGCACAGCCAGCCTCGTTTCACTATGCGTTCTCGCTTCGGCCACCTGGTCTACCCTTAAGCAGAAAACAAAGCAGGTATGAGATTGCCTCCCAACGGCAATTTTTCATGCTTCCATCTACGTCACGAGTTTCGTGATCCTACGCACTGCTTTTGCATTGGTAACTCTCTCTGTGTAACTACAGTTTTTCTCATCGGCTTGCCCATTGTCCTCTTTCCGTAGGCTGCTATTGGTCTCCTTGTGTTGATCGTAATTGCCCACATCGCAATGACTGCATCCTTATTCGTAAGTGTATTACTCTCCTTTCAATACTGCATTTGTGATGGTAGCAAGTGACTGGCACGATAAAATTGGTCTCGCCCAATTTTTAGCTGTGTTGTTTGAGTATAAAGCGATAGTTCGACGTCGACGAGTGAATTCTATCATATCCACTCGAGATATCTGCGTCAGACAAAAGCAATCAAGTACTATGTAGTAACGCCCTACTTCTACCTCATGAAATGGGTTATCTCTTCGGAGTGACCTAGGTCAGCGATTCCCTCAATTGAGTTGATGGATGGTTAGATCCCGGAGTCTGTTAGTGATTTGCCCCATTTGAGCTTGTCACTCAATGGGTATTTGCCTTTACACATCCTATTTGACAACTTGTTTCAGGTTGTCTTCTTCCATCAACCACCTCTTGAACCCAAACCGGATTTGGGTGTGCAAGCCTCTGATGCAAACGCTCTTAACAATCCGACGCTACAAGAAACCATCAGAGCTGGAGTCGCAGGAGATCAGAAAGATGCATCACCAAAAGAAGCTCCAATCAAGCCTGCGAAAGACATCGCGGAAAAGAAGGCTGAGAAGGATAACCCAAAGTCTGACTAGTATCACCACATTACAGTCGGAAGTCGGGGAAAAGCCTTTGTGATCGACTTTACTATCTGTTTTCTTTACAATCCAAATAATATGTACTGTCGTTCAGTGTAGTACCTGCCACTCAAATGTATCAGAACCACACCTCTGTAATAGTCAGCAACCAGTCTCACAACCCAAACTGAATGGAAGTTTATCTCAGCGTTCTTCCCGACACTGTACTCATCGTGTAAAAATCTGGTTAGTAAGTGTAGATCCAAGAAGGCGGAAATTATATGCAGTTATAAGTTGCGTCTCGTAAAATTTGCGTCATCCACATGGACGGTAATTTAAAAAATGCATGAAAAGTTGGGGTATAAGAGGTTGGCGGGTGATTCACCTCTTCCACGCAGTTCCATACTTCAGATCAAGCATCCTCCCGTGGACGAGGCACTGAATCAGAAACTCCTGGTTTATGACTGTGAATCCCATAGACTCTATTTGCAAAACTTTGGCTTCAGGAATCTACAAGGAGAGCACATCTCAATTAGCGCAAACTGGTCGGTCCGGTTTATTTCGGTAATTAAGGTGATGAGCTTACCCTTCCTTGGTCGACTAAAACTATATTCGAATCGCGATTGGATGTGTTTCTTATCGATCTCATGCTGTTGAGTCGGTCGACACTCTCGGCGAGCGCAATCACGATCGGCGCCTCATCAGCTGCAGGTGGCCCGCTCTCAGTGTACATTGCGTGCCGAAGGATGGATAGCCATCCCTCGCCGAAGCCGCGGGAATCGTCTGTCACCACAGCAATTATTCTCGATGAAGTGTAACCCCCAAGCAAGGTGAGTGTTTTGGGCCTAAATGCAATTACTGGTTCGATGAACCATGCCGGAACGCTGTCCCTGCAAGGAGCAACAAGCTTTGTTAGTAACAGTCGTTCAAGCTGTGAGCTACGGAACTTATTAAGCCCTCTGGATATACACCTTACTGCTGTTCTGGGGAATGCATAGCGATATTCGTAGAAATGTAACAAGTGATTTACTGGGATTCTTTTGGAATGAAAATCGATTCATTCTTTTCCAAAAGTAAATGCCCACTCCAAGGCAGCTGGTTGAATTGAATAACGATGCCAAGCTTAGAGCTACAATTTCACCTATGGATTCAAGCAGTTACGAAGCCGCTTACGGTGGTACCATTTGGTTGGTGCTTGTATCTATACCCCTCGGGAGCTCGTAGAGCGTTCGCGGCGACAACCGGAGTAGCTCAAAGGGTATGTCAGTAGGTTCGGTGCCAAGAGCGATAATTTTGGAGGCAACCTCAGGAGTGGCGACTAGTGGCTCCCTGCCAGCAGCAAGGAAGCAGGCATCGAGGAGCCAAACAGGGTGCACCAAGGGCACGCGCCCTAAGGTCGCTAGCCCTTGCAGGAACTTGACTGTACGCTTAGCTGAGAGCGCAACTAGAGCGATGCGCGGATGCTTTGTTCTCGAAACCACGTTACCCTCTGTCTCCACCAGCCTACCAGTGGAAGAAACACAATCAGCCTCGAGCAGTTCCATATTTTGACCGCCACCGGCCGAGATCAGCAGTCGCAGAAAGCTAGCATTTTCACAAGCCGAAACTGCAATGGAAAATTGATAGAAGCATTCGTAACAGGATAGTCGTTTGTTAATAAAAAAGGACCCTAGATGGGTATAGAATTTGTGTAAAGTTGAAGTGTGTGACTCTAATTGTTCAAGATGAGTGTTATCAGGGTTAACAGTTAATTGGAAACTCAAGAATTATTCATATTAAGTAAGGTCATGAAGGCAAAGGACGTACACTGTGTTTTGGCATGAGGGTTATCGAAGGTGATATGAGTGCGCCTCAAATCAGTTGAATTAACACCTGTTGTCCGAACAATGTACCACTGAGAAAAGAGATCTGGATGAGGCAGGGGTATGTGATACAGACGGCACGTTCTTCTAAACTCCTCTGACACCACAGGGTGCATGCACCGTTCTAGAAGGAGCATTAAAAAAGAATAATGGAGCTGTTGAGGTTGAAGCATATCCTTTGGTTGGATTCATAACCCAACCTTTAGGTAATGAAGCAGATTCAGTCGAGGGTCGAGATGATACTGGGACGGTCGAAGCTGACGTTTTCTGTTGCTCATTCAACGCCTCGTTAGTGAGTGTCGGTGATGACGGGATTATCGGACTTTCCGGTGGGGGAGAAAATTGCCGCCTTTTTCCAGAGGACTTCGTCTGAAGAGCCCTTCTGGAACGAGAACGGTTATGGGAGGCACTGCTAAAATGCAAAGAGGCGCGTGAGGCCCGAGCCACTACACGGCGACCGACGATCCAAATCTACGTAGTGAAATGTAGAAAAAAAGAAATGGGTTAATATAACGCAAAAGGTTTTATTGAGAGAAATGCAAAGCATTTCACTTATTGCATTTAGAATTCTTCACGAGAGCAACGCCAAGTTCCTGTGTTAGACTTCGTAAAATTATCCGGAAGACGTTGAATGAAGATCAAAGTCAGAAAACAGACAAAAACACGAAGAACCCAGACATGCTAGAAACATGAAGCGTTTGAATTGTAAATGTGGATATTTCAAAGTGTACTATAGCTCATAAGTCATAATGCACCGGCCGTTTTAAATGAAATTTTGTAATTAGATTTGGTGTACCCAATCAACAGACGACGGTTCACAGGTAGAGACGCTTAAAACTATCAATCGGACTGAAAAAGAACTGGAATTACTCCTACAGCTGCATGCATTATGTCGCTAGCATGCCTATCTAAACCTGGATTTACTCGTTACGAAGTTGCAATGTGCAGGTAAATTAGCAACAAGGTCGATCCACAAGCACCTGCTTTAAGGTTTATTTATCTTGTATTCAACATACTTCAACCGTTCAATTTTTATGTTTGGAAACTGGAACTTTCCGGTCAATAGCTCAAGGGCTGCTTCTGCTATCTCGAATGTAACAGTCAGAAGGTGAAAGTTTTCATAGGTTCCACCTTAAAACAATCAAGCAAAGATATTTAAAAAAAACCGAATTACCGATGCAATTACGCTTCATTTCAAAGGAAGTTGCGTGTTTTTAGTTTCTACATATCGAGCTAAAGATCGATCCCAGTCTCAACTCACACAACTGATAAGGAGGCTAACAACAGTGATAAAATGCCTAAAACAATCAATTCGAACCTGACTGTCCCTGTGACTTAATCCACTATGCTTCCGTTTAAACTCCTGCCGCTGCGCAGAGCCTTTTGCTCTCGACCTAGTCCGCTGCTGTTTGGATAATTTCAAGCGATGCGAAGCGGGAGAGGACCCCCCGATGGAAGAATCGCTTTGCTGCTGTGGCGCAGTCTTCCTCCGCATTGAACGTTTCGCAGGGACCGCACGCTCTTCTGTCCGGCCCATCTCGGTGAAGCCGCGCTTTCTACGGACAGAACCTCCAGCGGACACCTTTTAAGGCGAAAGAAGTAGAAGCAAAGCTAATATCACCGTCCACATTTCCGATAAATAAAGTCCTGTGCACTGTGTAAAATACGCTTACTCTCAAAACCCAATTTATTCTGCTAGATACTTACACCCGAAGTGACTGCTTTCGACGAAATGCCCCGAGGAGATGCACATTTTGAAGGGGATGAAGAGGAGGTAGGAGAGATGAACGATGGAGCGTCACTCGTCGTGGTAGATACATCTGACCGGCTGTCTATCGCCAATACTTGACCAGTGGAGAGGAGACGTTTCATTGATTCCACAAGAATCGCCACCTTTTTACGTTCGAGTCTAGAACGGTAAAAAACGAGGCAAAACGTGCGACAAGGAGGAATGAGGTTAAGCAACTAATGAAGAACTGATGATTCAGGAGATCTACTGGAAGACTTCATTGTCCTCGATGCGTTTGACGATATACGAGGGCGGCGTAGTTCCGACCACATGGCCCGATACCAAGTACCCAACTTCATATTCATTCCTACCTGATATATCAGCATAAACCTGAGGAAGAGAAAAGTAAATGTAGTTGAAGAGTAGATTAACTAGAAGAAATCATCTACAGTTGAGTGTCTGGGCAGGAACATAAGTACTTAGGCTTACATCTGTCCCAATAGGAAGGAGATCGGCGAGAATTATGTTTTTGCCTGAAACGTTTATTTTTGAGTTGTCATCAAACAATACGCGATACCTAGAAGTTAAGAAGTTATAATGCTAATGCTAATAATAACAATAATAATAAGGATAATAAGAAACAATGGAAGGAAAGCGTGCTAGAAGGCAGAGCTTACAAAACCGATAAATGGAGAAGTTCATACCTGGTCTCAGTACTGTTCCCAATTACTCGTCCGGCGAAAAAAAACTTTCTGTACCACCTAGCATAGACCAGCATACCTAAAACAAATGTATATTCTGAAAGACACGGACGATCGATTTGATAAAAAAGCAAAATATAAGTCTCATCACTCGACTATTGCTTTTAATCCATCAAAGAAAAGAGGAAAAAAATTTACCTGTATACATAGTCGACCCATCTTTTGAAACTGACAGAGCAGAAGACCGTGTAGTTCTTTTACGTCTAGTGACATCTGAGGAGATAACTGATTGAGATGTCACTTGCGATTCTGGATCAAAGATAGTACTGTGGAAAGGAAAACCTACTTTCAGATGATGCATGCAAGAAAGCTGACCAAAAGCTTATTGCACTTACCCATTTGGACCAGAATTAGGCTCTAATGACTTTGAATCAACTTCGTCTTTGGGAGGTACTAAGAAAATAACAAGAACCATGTCCTCTAGTTCAAGGAGAAGTAGCATTATAAAATAAAGACGATTTGCAACCCCAATTGCACATTCTGGTTGTGTTGCTGTATAAAACTCAACTAAAGCACAATCGTTCAGAAAATGTTAGAAAAGGAACCGTGCCAAGTTTATGCATATCAATGGGTCCATAGGTGATGGCCCCCAGAAATCAATTAAAATTAACTAACGTACCCAGCGAGCCCTGAATGCTCTTCTCCAATGTTTTCATGGGTGAATTCTAAAAATGTAGCCATTAAACATAACATTCAAAGTGTAAACAATGTGGTCCATTTATAGTGTCAATCGGATGTGCTATTCACCGTTTTTCGGGGAAAGAAGTACTCAGAGGACGAGGAGGAGACGCGAGCGTCCAAGATGCCTTGACGTCGGGCAATCACTGTTGCTGGTGTATGTTTATAATCTGACTGAGAATCCTCGCTACCAGAAGTAAAAAGCTCTCTTAGCCAGTCTCCAAGGGAGTCAGCCAACACCTTAGCTGCTTCTGAGACAGCAGCAGCTGCGTCCTCATCCATTCTTCGCACTCGTGACTACGGAAGAGGTCGCAGTACGGAATGACAAACGACTACTAAAGAGTAAGCGCACAAACACGTCATACAATGACGAGAGCTCATTTGGACACCAACCTGCCACGTAACTGTCTTTGTAAAATCAGGTATTTTAAATTCGACAAGATCCGTTTTTTCCACCTTCGAAAGGTGACGAAGCACAGACAATGACAGAGTGTAAGAAAAAGCAGGTGAAGCCTCCTGATCATCAGTAGCGGTTGATGTGGATACAGTACTTCTCCGCTTCCCCAGCGGTACAAGAGGTTTGCTGAATCCCGAGGAGTCTGACCTAAACAGATCAGAACCTGATCGAGTAGTGCGACTCGAAGTAGTGTTGGTTGTGGTAGCACCGGCCGAAGTGAAAATAAGAGAATCGGAGGAGGAGAAATTGGGATGCATGTTTACTTTTGGTGTGAGACAAGAAGCAGAGGAAAGTTGGACGTCTAGATTTATGAAAATATGGCAATGTACACAAAATTTTATCAGCATGACTAATTTCAATAAAAGTGAGCACCGATAGAGAATGGTCTTACGTTTTAAAGGTGCGACTGGGACCGAGGCCCGACCGCCAAGTGCAGGAGACAGAATCTTATCCAACTGACGCGCCCTATTTTGGTTAATGTTTCCTAAGATTCCTGACTCCTTGTCCGACAGCAGTGAGCGGTATGACATAGAGGCAGAATTTTGACAATCGATTGGTGGCTAAAATGTGGACCAGAAGTCACCTGAAAAAGCTACCGTAAATATCAAGAAATACATCAATGTAGAATAAAAGGAGCTCGAAGCAACACATCACTCGTTTCCAAAAATTAAGCAATGAACAATAGTGATGCGTCGAGCTCAAACACCTACATCTTCCTTGGAAGGTAATTGTGAGGTCGGAAACGATATTTCACGGGAAAGACTGCCCAGTGAATTATCATCTACACAGGTAGGCACATTAAGCACAACTTACCAGTAGCAGAAGTCGATAAGGGATGCCGAATATCTACGAAATCTAGAAACATCAATTAAAGTCACAAACTACCATCCTGTTGTGTAAAACCCTCTGGAACTGAAGGAGACAATGTCCTCTATGGGAAGGGGAAGGTAATAAAAACTAGACTCTGAGATGTATACCTGCACAGATTTGTTGCCCACACCAATTATTATATTTGATAGTTCGTCCATAGGAATAAGATTTTTTCGCGCTTTGGGTAGGATGCGACTTGCATGAGATAGGGGTTCAAAATTTGAGGATGGTACAATATTTTCGGAACTATCGGACTCCGAAAAGGCATCCCCCATTGTCAACAATGACTTGGCAACAGTTAGAAGTCAAATTTGCCTCTCAAGTACAGCGATGCATCCTCGCAGTAATTAAAGAGACGCAATTAAACAAGTATGCTATAAGAGATATTTCATGGTTCATGAAATGTTCTAGACTGGTAATACTTGGTCCAAATGCCGAACACCTCAATTTCTCGACTCCAACTCCAGTTCGATATGTAATTAATCGCTTCAGTAAAACTATTTAAATAACTCCAGATTTATTTTGTACTTCCATCGCTTGTTCCGTATGCTCAGTTTTAGTGTCCCGAGACCTCCTATCCAGTGTAAGAAGATAGTAATTGTAACTGGATACATGTGTTCCCAAGACGACAGGACAAATGGACTTCAGCATGACCCGAAGGCCAGTCCACGTGTACAAAGGCCAGACAAATCCTAATGTGACCGCCGAATGTCATGTCGCCACATAAACAAAGCATTACACTGCCCCTCTCTCCTTTTGGGCGACCTCCTCGACGCTCCCCTTCAGTACACCTCCCGCCACCCATTACAGCATATACCGTACTGCATGAAAGCACCCACGAGCCAACCGCGCCAGTCGACAGACAGCACGGGACTCAGGAACTGCACCCGCTCACCACGACAGCTTTACCTGCACCTGGAGTTACAGTCGGTCTGACAACCAGATTCGATGCCGCATACACCTGCTGACCATCAATTGCTTCCAGGAATAGATGCTGCAACTCTGGTCTAAAACATATATGCTACAGGGAAAACGGGATGTTTCACTGTCCCGTATGTAAGGATAACCATGGTGTCATTCTCGTAACCTAAACACGGATTTTGCATGAGTAAATCCGACACAAAACCTTTTCAGATAGTTAACGGCGGTGTCACTTCAGTTGTTGGTAGTTTGTGTGTGGAAGAGGGGAATAAGGTGAAGGCAAATGCAGATGTGAGTCGGAATCCTTTCGTTGTGAATGATTCAGGGATTCTCCGTCGCCAAGGTAAATGTGCCTCCTCGTCCTTTTTCGCCTGTATCTTCATCTATTGCACTTCGATAGATTCTGACTTCCTTCTACGTATATATATATATATTTTTTTCATGATTGCCGATGCGAAACGCCAAAATGCACTTACTAATCTTCAGTTTCTCCACTAAAGAGTGGAATTCCTTTGCGGTCTTGTCCGCTGGTTGGATTGTAAACGTCTTGTTGTGAAAAGGGTGGTTTTGAATTTCTGGCCAAGGAAACCCGATTTTGGACCCCAACAGATCATCGGGCATCAGCACCAACAACGAGGGACATACATCTCCAGATGCTGTGCGATTTGTAAGTGCTGAACCATTGCATCATCCGAACGAAGCATTACTCGTCGGCTTGTTCGTAATTTGATGCTTTTTTTCTTTGGAAATCAGTTGATAAATTGGCAAAGTTGAGCAACACAAACGTAGGATGTGAGTAAGACAGCGGTGTCTGTTGGGCAATAGATTTTCCCGGACACTATGTCGCTTTTAACGGACGACCATCGAAGAATAACCCGTGGAGAGAGACCCCAAATCGGCTGGAGCAGAAGGTCTTCGGAATCACTTTATACCTATAAGTGGTTAAAAAATGTCGGGTTCGCATTCCGCTGGCACCAGTGTAGCGTCCTGAGACCTCCTGGCCGGTAATAAGGAGTCAGTAAGTGCAGTTGGATACGTGTATTCTAGAGACGACAGGATGAATGGGCCTGGGCACGGCTCGACGGCGAGGCCACGAGTACAATGACCAGACCAATCCTAAAGTGGCAGCCAAACGTCATGTGGTCACATAAACACCGCATTACATCTACCAGTAACATTTTATAATTTGGCGCAAAATATCGTATGATCCTTACCACTTATGGCTGTCTCTTTAACCTAATATTTCTCACAACACGCAAATTTGTTTGCATTCTGCCTGTAGTGTTTTGAGTCTTCCAGTTGGGTAGAAGGCAGCAATGAGAATGGCTGCATGCTTACATTCAGACTGAAAGTATGGATGTGAAGCTATGACTTGGCCCTATGTTCAGGCCTACCGAAGCAATCGCCGCTCATCTAAGTAGTCAGACAAACAAAGGATTACACCACCATAAACAAATTCTGCATTTAAAACTCCTCTGACCACTGCAATTCTTTCCATTTGTTGCGTATAGATGTGTATGCGGTAAGTTTGAGCGTTTTGTGGGCAATTTTGTCGCCTTGCCATAGCCTCTCTCACTTGCGTACAATGCATGCATCCAAGACCGTGAAGAAGAGGGAAGCTTTCGGCATGGCAAAAATAGGGCCACCAACTACCACCTAGCATTAAATACTTTTTTAATGCTTTGTAACACCATGCTAACGACACGTCGCCTCACTCATTTCAACTTTACCTATGCTTTCCGAATACATGCGCTATCCACCATCCCCAAGCATTGTTTTCACGTAGACTTGAACGATATCTTTCTTTCGACTCGCTGAATTTTCTCGCCTATCTTGTCTCATCGCTTGTTTCGTTGTTTGCGGAAGTGTTCTTGGAGGGAGGAATAACGCTTTGGCCATCCCATGCGTCCCAACTTGGCGGTGCAAATATTTGCAGGCAGTCAGAGACGGGTTTTGCCGTAGTTATGCAATTTTCCCCATTTGTTACGTTGTTCTTGCATCAATGCTTTATGGTGACTTGAGGAGTAGAGGTACGAAGTACCTACCTAATTTACTCATCTATACAAATACCACAGACAGCTTCGTGGCTAAGTTTCTCTCATAGTTTGTGGCAGGTACTGCTTCCGTTGTAGATAACGTTTCTGCAAATTACTAAATTGTGACGACCACCGAAGGTGATAATCATTTGTAATCTCCCTGTTTCAGATTGCTGATGGCCCTCCACCCCCAGCATTTGCACTCGTTCTCTTTTCCCAGAAAAGAATGGCCGAATAGATACCTCCAAATGACCATTTCGGCTATTAGCTAATATCAATGAAGCATCTTCACTTCCCTGAAGACGAAGGAAGGCATTATACTCGAGCCGTGGGCATTGTTTTCATTCACTAGGGCTTAAAACTGATGGCACATTCATTTTAAATGCTGAAGGCTGTGTGATCGCACTTCCAATAAGCTTACTTTCAGCTGGACTCACATTCTAATTCATCAAATGAACTCTAAAAGTCACCTACACCAAAAGATTTTGTTTTCGGGGCGTAAAATTCTCCCCCTCCCTCTCATCACCCCTCTTCTTAATCATGGAGTACAAATAACATATCCACAGCCTTCCATTCTTACACATTAATTTTCTGCTCAAAAGCTCAAGTTGGAACACCGATTGCAAGTTAGGCCACATCTCATGCTTGCGCCCAAACGTCATATTACAAATTCAACAAAGTATGCTTTTAAGGGAGATGATGGAATTAGCAAACATAGTGCTTCCATCCGATTACTAGCCCATATTGTTTGTGTCAGTTGCCATTGAATGACCTGAGTGCCATCTTTACTGACGAAAACGTAGTTGGAACGCTTAGCCAAGCATTATTGCAAGTTCAGTTCTCAAACGCCTCCACCTCTGTTAGCGCAGTGGAAGCTTTCTTTGTCACTTGCAGTATTAAAGAATCTAGTCGTCAGACCTATGCAAATTGAGAGGACTCCCCCTCCTCCTTCTCTCCCAGCGGCTACTCTCGTCTTCCCCGACCCGTAAAGTGGCAATGGATCACACGTTTTGACTGCATGAAAAGGCTGGATAAGGTTGCAGGAGATTGCATCGCCAAACCGATTTAAATGGTTTAGGGAAGCTTTGTTTTTTCCTTTTTCCAAAGGTCACAATCTTACCGTGCTCAGCTCCATTCGTTTTATGCTGTAGCTATTCATTTTCTC